TCTGTCAGTCAAACAATTTGTAGACTCGAAAAATAGCTGATGGTGCAAAGAGCAAATAAAAAAAACATGGTGCATCCGCTATAGTCACGGAGATTACGTCTGAGAAGACTGGGAGGAGAGATAGAATGAAGGCACGTGAAAAGGTGTTCTGTTGTTGCTATTTGTCTTAATTAGCATTTTTGCGTACTTATTATTCAACTTGCTTTGTAATCATTCATTCAACTGAAGATGACAGACGTTCTGTCGAAATATGTCTTTTAAACTTAAAAAATTGGTCGTTTTCCTTAAAAAAAAAAAAGATAATTCTTGGCGCTGTGTAACTCTGCATTACCATATTCCGTAAGAACCGAGAGATTTTCATTTGTTTCTAACACTACATAATTAACAAATGTTAGCCGAGGTTGAGCAAAATATCGTGATTTGTCAGTGGCGAGCAGATCAATTATCTGAGGGAATATCACTCGGATTTTCCGTCATGTGAAGCATTTGGAGCAATTGTGCGACGGGGAAAACATGATGGATCATGATTTGCGATAACCAAGTTCAGTAATAGCCTCTTCATCAAAACGAGGCCTGGTGTACAACCATTCATAAGAAAATGAGCTTACTTTGCATGTGAATGAAATCTCGTTTTCAGAAGAAAGGATGGGCACCAAAACTCGTTTTAAGAAAGAGACTAAAAGTAATTCCGAGATGGCCTACATTATTGTTTTATCTTTCGATTGCCAAGTAGGTTTTCATATTTAAGTCAATCTCTGGGAGCTCACAGAAGCGATCTGCCAGTTTTTCACCCGAGAGCCTGGTTAAAATTACGCATGAGTGGAATATTATTTACAGCAAAACACATTTAGACGGCATTACGCATGAGCAGACCATTATTTGTAGACAGTTATTTGCAGGTCACGTTGTGGCTTCTCGGCCAATGAAAAGGAAGAAAAGATGCATGGAATAATAATTAATGTAGTTTGCATGATTTGATAGATGAAATTCTTCCTTATCTCTATCGCAACAAAACCACGACATCGTAGAACCAAACAGTTAATCTTCGCTTTGTGATTCAATGAATTGT